TATTAAATATTTACATATGGGTTCCGGGCTCGATATTTGAGGCCTAGTAGCACCAAGATATCCTGAATTTTTGTATTCATGATGAGAAATATTTTTCGATTTATCACTCAACATTTCTGTTATTTTAAATGTTAGTTTATTATTTATATGTTAGTAGTTTTATTAATTTATATGACAGTTTTATTATTACATATTTTTATTTATGACTCACTTATTTTTGACTATAATAAAATTAATTAATTAATTTTTATAATTATACAAGATTTAATTATTAAATATTCACATATGGGTTCCGGGCTCGATATTTGAGGCCCAGTAGCACCAAGATATCCTGAATTCTTGTGTTCATGATGAGAAAATTTTCTCGATTTATCACTCAATATGTTTGTTATTTTAAATGTTAGATTATTATTTATATGCTAGTTTAATACTGTATATGTTAGTTTTATTAATTTATATGTTAGTTTTATTATTATATATTTTTGTTTATGACTCACTTATTTTTGACTATAATAAAATTAAATAATTTATTTTCATAATTATACAAGATTTAATTATTAAATATTCATATATGGGTTCCGGGCTCGATATTTGAGGCCTAGTAGTACTAAGATATCCTGAATTTTTGTTGTTTTCTCATGTTATTTTCTTACAATCCTTGACTAGAATTGGACATAGTTTGTATTTGAACTATAAGCTATTTTGACGTATTTTTGGATATAATAAATACTTAAATAATTAATTTCAATAACTATAAGGATACTACGCTAAAGGGCACTACACTTTACTACGCTAAAAGGGCACTACATTACAAATACAAGAACTACATTAGGCCACAAGATACCACTAAAGGGAACTAAAGTAACAATTTATCTATTTTACTAGTCTTTAAGCAAATAAATAATCTAAACCAGATAAAAACAACAAATAAATTTAATCACAAAACATTCACGAAAATACATATACCATAGTAAAAAGTAACTTATTAATATTTTTTTAACAACTAATAATAATTTCTCTATTTTACTAATTTTTTTAGGACACTAATATCATAGTCCGGATAAAAATAACAAAATAGTTAAATCATAAAACAATCGCAAAACAACATAGAACACATTAAAAACAACTAATATGCAATTTTTTATACGAGTTTCAACAAAAACTAAGTCGGAATACCTCGATTTAAGGTTTTAGGAAAGTTGAAGATTTGGCGATTTAGAGCCGAAACGAGCAACCCATAACGAGAGAACGTCTTAGCTAGGATGTGAGACCGAGAATCTTTACTTTTTGTGGGACGGGTGGGGTCCACTCGAGGTTTTTCGTGGTCAATGGGGGGGACCGCTATAATTTTTTGGTTTTAATGGGGAGAGTTATGTTTGGTAGGGAAGAGAAGGAGATGATTTATTATGTAGGTATAACGCCGTTTATTAAGGCGCTATACTATAGCGCCTTAATAAACGGCGCTATACTTACCCGTCTTTTCATATTCAAGTATAACGCTTTTTTAAAGGGCGCTATACCTTAACATGCGCTATATATATTTTGGTCAATAAATATTTTTTTCACCTATTTTTGTGTCTTCAGTGCAAAAACTCATTATTTTGGTTCCGGACTCTCGGATCGAGGCATGCCTAAGTTTGACAAATACACCATCACTAAATAAATAAAAAAGTATTTCCAGTTTCTCTGTCTAGGATAGGAAATTCTTGCCTTCCTCAGCACTAAAAGCGAAAACAAAAAAAAGTGCAGAGAAAATAGAAAAAAGAAACAGATACAAATAATATTAGGAAGAAAAGAATATATTTTTTGAAGTATAAACTACACTCGTAGTAAAAGGTAAAAAAATAAACAATGGCTTCTCTGCGTTTTCCGTTCTTGTTTTCTCAGCCCCAGAAGCCACCATGTTCCACCCCCGGAAATGCTTCATCTCGCTCCTTCTCCAGCGCCTCTGCCGCCGCGGCCGCCGGCGGTTCAGTCGTGGCTGCTGCCGGAGCGATCATTGCCATAACTCAAAGTCCCAAAAATCCGTTTCTTGAAGATGCTATGAATTTTCTACTCTCCAACTTCTCACCTAACAAGAATCATTCTTCGCCTTTGTGGGGTTCTGTTTCTTTAGCTGATAATTCAGCTCCAGTCACAGAATCGAGGACTGGAATGTCATTTCCGTCAGTTTTGAAAGAGTCTCAGCAACTCCTTGGAATTGGGCTGCGTAAAAAGGCAATTTTTGGGTTGAAAAATATTGATGTCTATGCTTTTGGTACCACATTGTCACTCCAATTGACTTTCTTTCTTTGCTCCATATCAATTTCTGAAGTAGATTCCTATAGTGTACGTAGTTGAAATTCTTGATTTTTATGATTAATGCGTGCAGCACAAATGCTCAATTATACTCTTTCCATTCCAATTTATATGACTGTAGTTTGACTTACCACGGCGTTTAAGAGAAGAAAAGCGAATACTTTTGAAACTAGTGGTTTAAACATGTCATAACATTTGTGTGTCAAGTAGTTAATTTTTGAAACTCGTGTTTTTAAACATGATATAACATCTGTGTCGCTGTAAAAGCTCTAGTTAAAATAAAATGAAAAGTTTAAAGTTAAATTGTTTCCAAATATAAAAATATATTATTCTTTTTTGAATGGATTGATAAGGATATAGTGTCACATAAATTGGAAGTAAGCGAGTATCAAATAAATGCCAATTCTTATTTCTTGCTTATCATTTTCTTCTTAAAATGCTGTTATTAGCTGGTTCACTTTCTATTCCAGTCAAAGCTCAAGAGCTCTTTAAGTTACTTTATTACCCCAAGGTAGGATTTATTAAGTTGTACTGACCATGTAGATAACTTTATTGTTTATGTTATCTGGTGTGCCCTCTTTTCGAGGTAATCACTTCATGCTTACTATAGATAGTTACCCGGGATAGGTTTGAAGTTGATACAGTTTCTTACACTGTTAGTGCATAAAAATTAAATCCGTGGTGGTATCATATTTGAGAATCTTATTCTATTTGGACCTTCCTTTAAATGATAAGGGGATATATGCATTATGCTCGCTCTTTTTTCCTGTTTGCAGTTCTGAATGTCTTTATCTTGAAGGAAAAGTGACGTTTACTTTGAATTATGGCCTTTATCTGATGTGATATCGATATGACACCCAATAGGTGTTTATGCTGATGATGGTGATGTGAAGAAGTGTCTGGCTCAGAAGCAAGGCGGGTACTCTGATTCTGAATTGAAGCAAAAGGAAGAGCTGAGGGATCATCTCATGGAAAATGATATACGCATGACTGTTAGGCTTCAGATAGTGTATGGAAGACTAAGCATTGGTTCTGTGCGCAATGCTTTTGAAGAATCTGTTGGCAGCAGATTACTCAAGTTTGGGGGATATGATAACAAAGAGTTGCTCCATAGGTAATTTCTTAGCCTCATATCAATCGACATCTTATTCAACCTTTTTCATGTAATTACCATATCACTACAGGGAAACAAGCCTGATAAAGCTGGACTAAGCACTTCATTAGCTCGCACCCTAAATTATTCATATTTATATATATTCTGAATCCTTACTCAAGTTACCTTTTAAATTTAATGCTTTGCAATATCACAGTCTTGGACATTATTACTGGACTCTTTTGCCTAACTGTGATCAGTTATCTCTCAGATCTACATACAGCACATCTTTTCCTTGAATAAGTTCATTGAGCTGCTAACAAGTTTATTCAGAAAATTGAACTTTCTAGTTTCGAAATCCTTAACTATCCTTGCCTCCTTCTAGTTCTTTTATAGCCTAAAATGTCTTTTTGTAACTGCAGGTTCACTTCCCAGTTTAAAGATGACATTAAAATACCTCGGGGATCTATCATAGAACTCTCCAGAGACCATGACTACATACTTCACACAACAAGTAAGATGATTTATTTCTGTTGCCAGTATGTTGATTCCATGTGTTATGTATGTCTATGTGTGCTGAGAAAACAAATGTTTTAGCTATCAGTTGGCAAGAATCATTGAAGAGCTATTAAGCGGATAGATCATGACGTTATTTTCTTTTAGCCATTGCCCTTTTAAGGTTGGATTTCGAAGCAGTATAAAAGAGGCTACAATAAAGGGGAAATTAGTTCATCAAGTGAGAGCTAAACAAGAGCAATACCAAAAATATATCCTGATTACACCATCAGTTGGCACATTTTATTCCCTTACATTTCCTAAGTAGCAAGTGGCTAAACATTTTCCTAATTTGATTCTCTATAGGATTGGTATAAGATATTGACCAACCATCCCTATTCCCTTTTGTTACGGATATATTTTTTCTGCCCTTCACCAGTTTCACCATCTATATAACCAAAAAAGGGATTGCTGTATGTTAGCTGTTGAAAATATCTTCCCCAAGATATATCTGGATGTTTTCTTTTCATTTCTCTAAATATTATCTCTGCTCTTTTTGGTTTGTAGTTGTTTGTTCGAAGTTCATTCTAGCATCAATCATTTAGATGAAGCTTAAGTTTTGTTTATTTTTCTTTTATAGTTGATGGAAAGGAAGTGGGAAGCATACAAAGCAAACTCTTATGCAGATCAATTCTAGACCTATATATTGGTGATGAGTCATTTGATCAGAAAGCCAAAGAAGATGTTGAGTCGAACTTGGCTTCTCTACTTCACAAGTAGCTACTTCATTGGCATAAAAGATACTTTATCAACATGAGGAATCGACTTCTGGTGATATTGTATTGGTTGGTTGATTATCTTTGAATAGTTGAATCAAAGATCTCTTCAAACAAAATTTGGATCTATATTTTAAATTTGATGAGTTGTTTTCTCTACTCCTGTAGTTTCCTGCTCTGGCATTCTATAAGCTGTATCTGTTGTATAATAAAAATGAGTATCTTGACCTTGGTTACCAAATTTGTTTTCTTTCCTATATAGGAATGCATCAGGGGGTGGAATAAGGAAGTTTTAGACCCCCTCAAGGGAACTAGCAAAGAAGCAAGATGTCCAGTCACCTGGTATTTAGGATTCTTACGATAGCAGACGAGACCAAGTAGAAATACAAAGTGTAGAGAACAACCTGGATTACCATTTTCCCGTTATATAAGTGAAGCATGGGTAAACACTACTAAGGTTTTTTTCCCAGGAGTTAGCGTGACCAGGAGGTCACGGGTTCGAGCCGTAGAAACAATCTCTTGTAAAAATGCAGGGTAAGGCTGCATATAATAGACCCTTATTGTCCGGCCCTTTCTCGGACCCCGCGCATATCGGGAGCTTAGTGCAGCGGGCTGCCCTTTTTTAGTTAGCGTGGTGCAGGTGCAATTTGGCAAAGAGAACTTGGGAGAGTCAAGGGAGTTTTTTTTTCTCTAAATTTTAAGTTATATCCACTAACAGTATCAAATATTAAGTTCAATTTGACACGCTCATGCATGTATATACAGCATGTTCTACTCGTACGATTTTCTCAACTCATGCACAGCTTGTGAGTACTACTGGACTCCTAAAAGCATTCTCAGCTCTTTCTTCACAAAAACAACATGGTGGATGCAGCACCAGAAGTCTGCTGGTCAGTTATATACTGATAGTTCACACAAGAAAGTTGCTGCAACTTCCTTTGTAATCCAAGTTACTCCTTGTAAAGTACTACAATTTCTTTTTTCCCTTGTGGAGGTTAAGTCATGGTTTGTGCAAAGGAAACCATTCTTCTCTTCTCGGCAATGGCTATTTTTGGTTTCTTTAGCACAACTCTGGTCGACTGTACTGTGTACAGTGTTGGGGATTCCGCCGGTTGGACAGGCAGCAATACTGACTATCACATGTGGGCTTCTACAAAGACTTTCCAGGTTGGTGACACTCTTGGTAAGTCCAGCTAGTTTAGATGATCACCTGGTTTACTACAAGTGCTTTTCGTTTGAACTATGTATGTAACAAGCCAATTATTTAAAAATATAAATTTATATCAAATTTGCATTTCCTGCAGTAGATTAGTAGCTGCTACTTCTAATAGAAAGGATTTCAGTTATATTCACAGATAGTGTGAAGATTTTTAACATTACGTGTGTAGTTTAACTCGTGATAGCATGTTATTTACTGTTTTACCAGGTTACAATGTAATGTTTATTAGACATTAATTTGTAATTTTCTCGTAAATGATCTGTTAGCGTACATAATTTAAACTCTTAAGGTTCACATCGAATTCAGTCTACAATGACAAAAGGTGCTTTTTCGCCGGAGGGGTTTGTCTCCATCGAGAAATATTTTAACTTCTTAAATTTTAGATCCATCTCCATCTCTGCCCATCCTTATTAAGAATTTCTAATGATATAGTAACTACTTATTGAGGGGAGTCTTGGAGCAGCAATAAAGTTGTCTCAATGTGACCTATAGGTCATAGATTCGAGCCGTGCAATCAGGATAGGCTGCCTACATCACACCCCTTGGGGTGCGGCTCTTCCCCAGACCCTTCGTGAACCGGGCTGCCCTTTTTATAGTAACTACTTATTAAGATGATTAAGTGTCCTGTTTTATAGCATTTTTCATTAATTATTGCCTCAATGGTGCTGAAGTTTTCCAGTACAACCAACAACTCCACAACGTGGTACGAGTGAGCCTCTCCGATTTCCATTCGTGCAATGCTGGAAATCCAATCGTCACTTACTCCTCCGGCAACGATTCCATCACCATTGTCGGTCCCGGCCACTACTACTATATTTGCGGGTTTCGAGGCCACTGTCAAGCCGGACAGAAGCTCGATATTCGGGTACCCAAAAACTACCAATTAACTGATATCCGTAGCAGAAAACTAACTAAACCTCCAGTTGCAGCCTAAGTAGCAGTGATCAGAAGAGCCAAAAAAAAAACTTCATTTGGAGAAAATTGATTTGGAGGTTAATAAGATATGTACTATTGACTAGTGACAATGTTTTGAATTATTATCTCTTAGATATTGGACTGCCTATCAATAACTAGTCTTATTTATTGTATTACTGATGTTCTGGGGGTAATAAAATGCATTGGTGTCGGTAAAACATAGACATATGAATATCATAAAATACCTATATATCTGTTTCTTAGGTCTTCCGAAAGAAGTGCACAAGATTTGAAGTGTATATATCTTATATCTATATGCATTAATTAACCAACTGTGCCTCAACTCCAAATTACAAAATTACTTTTAGGGATCCTTTTGCATACTATTCATTCACTGTATAGAGTAACCATATGAATCTTCTATATTCGTTCTGAATATTTTTACATTTGCAATCGCTCTGAGGACCAATCCATCTCAAAATAATAGAGTTGAAGAACAATGATAACAAACCCAGTGAAATTTTACTAGTAGGGTTTGGGGAGGGTAAGATGTACGCATATCTTACCCCTATCTTATGACGGTAGAGAGGTTGTTTTTCGAAAGACCCTCGGCTCAAGAGAAGTGAAAATGAAGCAATAAACACACAATAGCAACGACAAGGTAATTAGATATGAGCACAAATGGAGATACGTGCAATAAACATATATCTAAGAATAATAAAAATAGATCCAATCTTGCTAGAAATAATGACACAATGTGAAATAGCAAGGGGCTAGGAATAGCAAATTACGAGACTAATACTAATACTACTGGGATGCCTAGACGAAACTATAGACTGCCTGTCAACCCACAACCCTAATCCTCGACTTTCACATCCTCCTATTGAGGGTCATGTGTTCAGTAAGCTGAAGTAGCGTCATGTCCTGTCTAATCACCTCACCCCGGTACTTCTTAGGCCTCCCTCTACCCCTCCTCTGACCCGCCATGGTCAACCTCTCACATCTCCTAACCGGGGAATCAGGGTCTCTCCTCTTCACATGTCCGAATCATCTCAGGCTCGATTCACGCAACTTATCTTCTATAGGAGTTATGCCCACTTTGTCCCTAATATACTCGTTTCTAATCTTATCTCTCCTCGTATGCCCACACATCCATTTCAACATCCTCGTTTCTGTTACTTTCAACTTCTAGACATGAGATTTCTTGACTGGCCAACATTCGACTCCATACAACATGGCCGGTCTAATTATCGCTTTATAGAACTTGCCCTTAAGTCTAGGTGACACATTCTTGTCACATAAAACACCAAAAGTGAACCTCTATTTTATCCATCCTACTCCAAAATTGTGTGCGACATCCTCGTCGATCTCCCTGTTACCATGTATCACAGATCCAAAATATTTGAAACTATCTAATAGAGTTGAAGAAATCCACATCAAATTTGGATCAAATCTATTCTCTTCGCAATCCATCTATTCATATTCTCTGGATCAGTGGGTCAAGGTCCATTTTACCTACCCCTACTTTTCCAGAAAACATGCAAATTTTTTTACTAATGCATCACTTACATCCAAACTCTCGTGATCCCGTGTACAAATACAGAGACACACATATCTGTATACATTTCTTTTTTTTTTTAATTACTATCTCCCCGTGGGTGACCTATAATCTATTCTGTTAATCTGCAACAGATTAGAGTTTTGCAAAAGCAGTAGGCCATACACAATGATCCATAGATTATACTTATTGGTTAGAGGCGGAGCTAGCATGAAACATATGGGTTTACGTTATATAAGTAGTTTTTGCTCAAACTCTATAAATATCTATAAATATTTGATTGCAAATTTAATTAGTTATTGTTATATATTAATTTGAGATCGTTATAAAAACTCATAAATTTTAAACTCTAAGTCCTCTTCTAGGCCTGACCAACTGTTAAACCTATTGGATTTTCTGCTTTGCCTCTCGTTGTCTCTGTATAGGTCAAAATCCGTCCTTAGGATATTTAGCGTAATATGACATTAAAGAAAGAGTCGTTCGAGCTCGCCCAAGATGCACCGAAGTCATTGGTCGAGGTGCCGACATGAGCCGTAATCGAGATGTTGACATGGATCGCAGTCGAGATGTCAACAAGGGTCGATGTCAAGATTGGCCACTAATGATAAGACTTGTAACGGCTAATTTGTCAGGATATGATACTAAAAGGGAATATTTTAGTGGATATTTCCTGCATTTGTACTATTATGGTTTCCTAGGAAAAAAGACTCATATATATAGAAATAAACAACAATAATAGGGGCATGTAATATTGATTTTGATAAGAACACTTTTGAGAAGAAGACTTTCTCTCTCGCAAAAATACAAAGACTACCTTTTAATAAAGATTCTTGTTCATATTATTGCCACCTTTCCACCATATCCGAGGATTGTTCATACTAATCTTGGACCTATATGTCATTCATCATTGGGTTAATCTTTCTCCTTATTTACTTAAATATCATTTATTGCCATTTATTATTAGTTATATCTCCATTAATGTTCATATTTTAAGAATATTTTGCACTTATTGCCATCAACCATTTATGAGATCTGTCTCATCTACTGTACGTTTTAAAGATTAGCTTCTAGAGTTATTATTCTTAACTAGATTTAACCCCTTGTTACATAAATTTAATAGTTTAACCGAAAGTTATACTTTTTGGTCAAACAATCTCGTGTCTGAATTAAGGGTTAAATCATATATAAACCATGTATACTTTAGCATCAAGTGCACTTCCTACCTATTCTTTTGATTTTTTGCATACTATCACTCCAAGATAAGCGCACAAAATTTATTATTTAAATGTTCACTCATTTATTCGTAATTATTTAATAAATAATATTTCCTTTTTTATAATACAAAAGTCATTTATGTCATATCACTTGAAAGGTCAGGCCGAATCCTCATACTCCTAACCTTGCCACTTAAAAGTGGATTGGTGGGCGTAATATCTAGCCTTAATTTTCATCACTAATTTAAAATGTTGGAAATGGTAAGGAAAAGTTAAGAAACACATTAAAAGCGAGTTGGGTAGGAGCCTAGAAACAAAAGAATCCTAACAATAAAATATTTACCAAACAGCTAGCCATGCAGCGAGTTTTGTTTTATTGTATTTTTAATAGGCAAATGCTGAGTAGGATACTCACACTGAAAAAAAGTATAAAGAGACAAATAAATAAATGATGACACATTAAAATTGCAATAAAAGATGAAAGTGTACTGATTTGTGAATAAAATCCTATAAAAAGGCTGTCTCTCCCCGGTATCCTATGAAACAGAAACACGTGATTGCGATTGTTTTATAATAGGAAATATACAATAAAAGAAAGTTGTGTCGAGAAATTTAAAGAAGAAAAGAAGTAATAACACCAGTCAAAAGTAAAACGAAAAAAGAAAATGTTGCAATCCCCAAATTTATTCGACTTCGACGTAGCAAGCCCAGTTTTGTAGAAGAGTTTTCAACGAGTTTTCTGAAATTCGCAAGTACTAAATGTCTAAACTAAACTAAACTTTTTATAAAGTGTCCAATACTCTACCCTGTGCATTTGAATATTGATATCTTAATTTTACAACAATACAAAAAAAGTGCATCAAGTTATTACTAGAAGAAAATGAGAGTTATAAAAATTGCAACTAACCATATTTTTAGAAGAATAAAGATTTGAAGTTTGATTTGAAGTTTATGAGTTTGATATTCTAATATTTTTAAGTTATTGAATTCTAATTTAATAATTTATGTATATTCAATAAATTTTTTAAGACAAATATAGAATTTCGATCAAAGTTAATGGATTCTATCGAATCGTAATTCAAATGGTAGCTCCTCCACTGACTATGTTCCGAAAATGTTGAAATTCATAATAAGGAGCGTTTTTCTCCAAAATTCAAATTAATTAAATTAGTGATTTCGATATTTAGAGCCCGTTTGGCGTTTGGACATAAGATTTTTTTCATTTTTTTAACTTTTTTTCGATATCATTGTTTGGCCATAAAATTTTCAATTCTCACTTTAAAAAAATTTAAAATTTTTGAAAAACTTAAAAAACTCAAAACAAACTATTTTTTCTCACATTACTTACAAAAATTCAAAAATAATCCAAAATTATACTCACCTCCCAAAAAAAACTCTAATTTTCAGGTTCCAACTTTAGTTGGAGTGTCCTGTTTCCCCTGCTACAACTACTACTGCTCCACTTCTTTGTTTCCACTCTCAGTCACACTCTGGGAGAGGACGCACACACTGCACAAAAAGTGTGACTATTTCAAGTGAAATAACAGAGAGATTTACAATAAAAACAACTGGCGATCATAAATGTTTCTCCAAACGAAATCGTGAGCTTTTGCTTCTGTGTACGATTTCACGGATTCTCATTTCTCCATCACTACACTGCATAGGTACAATTCAACTACGACCGGCAAAGTACCACTCTTCGTTGTTATCCACACTCTATTATCTTGTCAATTCTTTTTGGATTTTCACTGAATTAATAGTGCCATTATTTACTTTATCTGATCAAACTGAAACCATTAAGTGATGGAGCTTGATAAGGTGACGATGGAGATTTTCTCCAAGCTAGAGCAGAAATGGCTGTACCAATACGAAGGGAAGAAAACACGTATTCTCAGCATTGACGGTGGTGGAACTAATGGCATTGTTTGTGGTGCCTCTTTGATTCATCTCGAACATCAGATCCGTGTGAAAACCAGCGATCCTCAAGCTCGAATTTCGGATTTCTTCGACATTATCGCCGGTACCGGTATAGGTGCTATTTTCGCTGCAATGCTTGTTGCTGACGGAGGTAATGGCCGTCCGTTATTCACAGCGAAGGATGCTGTTAAATTCGTAACGGAAAACCAGTCGCGGCTGTTTAAGGTGAAAAACGTCGGCGTTTTCCCCAGGAAAAGGAGGTTTTCAGGGAAGAGTATGGATGAAGTGTTGAAGGAAGCTTTCAGAAGAGAGGACGGGAAAGTGTTGACGTTAAGGGACACGTGTAAGCCTATGATTGTTCCTTGCTTTGACCTCAACAGCTCAGCTCCATTCGTTTTCTCCCGAGCTGATGCGGCGGAGTCTGAGAGCTTCGATTTCGAGCTCTGGAAAGTTTGCCGTGCCACGTCAGCTAATCCGTCAATGTTTAAGCCGTTTCAGCTAAGTTCCGTTGACGGAAAAACCTC